CAGTGCAGGGATCAAACCCTGGACCTTGGTGTTAGCACCACGGTCTAATCAACTGAGCTAACTGGCTCTTGTGTTTAAGTGTGACGTGGCTCGTGGAAGACCTGACATTCCATGGCAATTCAGGAAGTGGGACCAAGTGTTTAATCATCTTCATTGTCGTCACTGGGCTTGAAGAGAAGCCTGTGGCTGGACTGCAACGGGCAGTGTGATCTTTAGCCAGTGGGAGCCATTGAGTGCACTATACAACATCAGCTATTCTTACAAGTTGTCTTTCTTTCCTCCCCAGAATGGCTTCCACAAGAAAAGCTAGCTGTCCTATAAGTGGTATTTTTGGTGATTTCAGTGATGTTTCCTTAGAAGATTCAAAGATGGAAGAACCCAGAAACTTGAAAATCAGTAGAAATCTTACCAAAATAGCACCTAGTCAAAGCAGATTTCTAAAAAGAAACCAAACCCTGGGTGAGAAACACTTCCTCCCAAAAGAGAAGGCCGTACTGGAGAGTGGGCTCAGGATTTCCTCTGGTCGACCCCCCACCACCACCTCAAAGATCAGAGCCAATCCTGCACTCATGAAGTTGGCCCAGATAGAAACCAGGATCATGAATCGGAAGGTGCACTTGAATTTGTCTGACACCGAATCTGACCCAAAGACCACTGATGATAGTCCTTGGAAGAGAGCAGATGAAATCCTCCCCAGGAGGACAGTTGAACATTCCACACAGAATACAGACCAGACTTCCCAGGAACAAGCCCATGACATTCCCGTCGCAGAGAGTAGTGCACAGAGTAGGAAGGGCAGTAGGTTTCTAAAGAAGAAGAAACCACCTGTTGAAAATAGATCCCCAGAGGCACATGTTGGGAAAGAGAGGACTTTTCAAACACCCAAACCGAAGGAACCTGCTAGAAAATTTGATTCTCCAGACAGTGATGAAGAGGAGATGAAAGAGTTGCTGGGAAGCTTGATGGAATCTTCTAGAGAAAAAGAAATATATATGAATCAGGGTTTCACCAGCACTGAAGTCAGTGAGAAAGAACGAATACAGCTGTTCTCAGTAAGGTTTTTATTTATTTATTTATCTTGGCGACTCGCCCGTTCAGGAATCTGAATCCTTGACCTTGGTGTTATAATATCACGCTGTAACCATCTGAGCTCACTGGCCAGCCCTATTTATTTATTTTTAACCAAGCCTTAGCATTTGCTGCAAATATGTCATAGCACTAGAGATTCATAGCAGCCATCACCTGAAAGCTACTTAGGAGAAGGGTTTGTTGAGGAAAGAGTAGTGTTTCAGCAATGGCAGATATCTGTTGTGGGGCTGCTGTGTGAGGGTCAGGATTTGAGACACATTAGGCAGTTTTTAAATATCTGTAAGTCATAACTCTGTACACACAGCACAACCTTTGTATGACTGATCAAACACCAGCAGTGATCAGTTCCACCTCGGGAAAGCTGCGTTTCTTTTTTTTT